TCAGGCACTGTGCTGATATAAGTTATTTAACTAATAGAGAAATGAGAAATGAGTGGAAGGATTTGAAAATAGCTCTTTAATTTTTGTGGAAGGCATTTTCCTTATGAAAATTAGTATTTCTCCAGAGTGGAATAATTTACTATTTAAAGCTTTGGTTGACTTGGCCTGGTTATAATGAGAAAGAGAGTCAAATTGCTTATTGAGGGGGGTTGCACAGAACTAAATCCAAACAAAGCAGAATTCCCTTCGAATTGTTCCATCCAAGTTTCCTTGGTCCAGATGGCTTCCATCGCCAGCCAGAGGCTCCACCCACACCTTCCCACTCCCGCTGCGCTGGCCCTGGACACACGCTAATGACCCTCAGCTGTTCTGGCTCCCAGGCTCACTTTCTCTTCCTGCCTGGCCACCCAATCTCCTATCTCCTGCAGAGAGAAGAAACTGAGGGACAGGGGATATTTAAGACAAAAGTCATGCCTCTGGGTAAACAGAATTTGGGTTAGTGTATCCGTTTTCTCTTGCTGCTATACCAAATTACCCCCAACACAGTGGCTTAAAACAATGCAGACTTCCAGTTCTGCAGATCAGAGGTCCAAAAACGGTTCTTAGGAAGCTAAACTCATAGTGTCAGGGGCTGCATTCCTTCCAGAGGTTCTAGGGAGAACCTGTTCCTTCCCTTTTCCAATTTCCAGAGCTGCCTTACTTGGATCTCTGCTTCCATCAGCACTTTTCCTTACCTGATTCTGATACCCCTGCCTCCCACTTATAAGGGACCTTGTGATTACACTTGGCCACTCAGATAAACCAGGATAATTCCTGCATCTTTAGATGCGTAATTTAATCATGCAGGCAAAGTCCTTTTTGCCATGCAAGGTACCATATTAGCAGGTCTTTAAGATCAGAATGTTACCATTATTCTGTCTACCACTGTTGGTTAGTTCTTTCTTTAGCATCAGATATCATCTAACCACATCTAACGTCTAATATTTCCTAACATCTAATACCAAATACTACATAGCTACATCTATATCTATAATAATAAAAATGTAATATGCTAATTAGACTGGATGTCATTCCAGACATCCTTCCAGACGAAGCCAGGGCTGGAGGGAAGCCTGGGTCCCGGGTGTCAGAGGGAAGCCAGTGCCGGCAGCCGGGGTAAGGAAGGCCTACTCTTGTATGAATTTCATGCATCGGGCCTCTAGTCTATACATAAAATCACATACACATACATGAAAACATGTACATGTACTGAAGGTAATGAGACAATATGTCTATGATAGCTTAAATAAGACTCAGAGCAATATCCATGATTATTGTATCAGGCTAATTGCAACAAATTTCCAGCGCTTTCATTCATTGTAAGATATTGATAAAGAAAAAAATAAATGAAGCAAACTAGAACTGATAGCCTGTGAAGGGCCTGCTAAGCACTCATCTTCAAATACTGCCCAGGACTTTTCACCACTGAGAAATATAAAAGCCTAAATAAGTTAGCAGTGTTGGGTTGTTGTGAGATGCCAGCAGATGACACCTCAGCCTGTGAAGCATGCAGCTGCCAGGAACAGAAAGTGTACATCCCAGGGAAGGGGCCTCTAGGCAAAGGAAGGCTCATATTTATAAAACTCATCTCATCCATTGTGATTATATCAGAACATACACAAGACCTCAGGCAGTATCTTTGGTGGGATTAGGAGGTGCAGTGAGAGAATGCAACAAATTCATGTGACTCTAAGTTAAAGTGAGAAAGGGATGAATTGTAAGAGACACTGCAAGGCTAATGCTGGAGATGAGAGGAGTTAAGGATAAAGGTAAAAGCGACATGTTGGGTTTGGAATCTACTCATTTCATTCTATCAAAATAGAAGCAGTCTGATGAATGTCACCCTATTTTCTGAACTACACCACCTCACTATTTCTGTACTTATTGGCTTGGTTCTCTAGCCAATATGAAGGTTTAACTACTCATGTTTTTATCCAGGATGAACTGGAACCAATGCTTTCCAACCTATCGAAAGAATTTTCTTTCTGCAAAGATCTCAAATATCCCAAATCATCATTTTTTTTCCTTCTGCTTCATCATGAAGCATGCTATAATATCTCCCATCTTTTTAAAAACCTTACTTTGGCCCTAGCTGGTTGCTTAGTGGTTAGAGCATCAGCCCACAGAACAAAGGGTTTTGGGTTCAAGTCCCAGTCAAGGGTACATACCTTGGTTGCAGGCTGGAACGCCAGCAGGGGTGGGGCCATGTGTGGGAGGCAATCAATCAATGTGTCTCTCTCATCTCTCTCTCTCTCTCTCTCTCTCTCTCTCTCTCTCTCTCTCTCTCTCTTTCTCTCTCTCTCTCTCCTCCCCACTTCCCCGCCCTCCTCATCCCTCCCTTGTGCTTTTTCTAAAAATCAATGAAAAATATTCTTGAGTGAGAAGGATTAAAAAGAAAACCACACAAACCTTCCTTTTATCCCACAGACTCCCCATGCTATTACTCCATTTCTCTGTTCCTCGTTATAGCCTTCAGAAGAAGCATCTAGTCACTGTCACCATTTTATTTCCTATTCTCTCTTGAACCCATTTCAATCTAGCTTTTGTTCTCCTCCTCCCTGAAACTCCATTTATCAAGGTCCTTAATTACCTCCACACAGCAAATCCATCTGGGCATAGAACTCATTTTTCTCAATCTCTTGATAACAATGACACAACTGATCACCCGCTTCTTGAAACTTGGCTCCTGGATTGTCACACTCTCCTGGTATTCCTCCTACTTCACTGGTCATTCTTTCCCAATTCCCTTGGCTGTATCCTCTCCTTTTTTTCTCTGTAAGAGAGCCCTAAGCTCAGTCCACTGCCACCTTCTCTTCTCCAGTTATTTGTACTTATTCCCTAAATAATCTCATCTACTCTGGTGGCTTTAGATATATCCACATGCTAAAGTTTCCCAAGTGTGTATTTTCATTCTCAAACATATCCATGAAATCAAGATTCCTATATCTAATATCCTAGGAGACAACTTTAGCATGTCCAAAAATGCAATTTCTATTTCCTCTGCAAAACTTACATCTCCCAAGTATTGCTCAGCTCAGTAAATGGCACCATAATTCACCCAGTTGCTCAAGCTCTAATCTGCTAAGTCTTCCTTGACTCTTTTTCTCCTGCTTCACATGTAACTTAACAGAAATAATCATCAGTTTTACATTAAAAAACAATCTAGAATCTGACCACTTCTCTTCCCCACCACCACATCACTCTAGTCCAAGCCACTCTTATGTCTCAGGATACTGGTATAAACATTCTGATAGTAACTTACCTGTAAACATTTGCCAAAAATGCTCTAAAGTGGACCTGCTTTATGTTTCTTTAACTCATGAATGCCCCTTAAGTTCTCTTGAACCTTAGAGGATATTATTTTTTTGGCAAATTGTAAGTGTACAGAAGTGCATTCATTCTTAGGAAAATAATATAACCTTAAAAAGAATTTTAATGAATAAAATAAACTGATGAACAAAATAGATCCAGAGACAGAAGCATGGACCAGATTATTGAATCTCAGAGGGAAGGTGGGGGGAGGGTGGGTGGAAATAGATCAACCAAAGACCTTGTATGCACATATTCATAACCCATGGACACAGATAATTGGGTGGTGAAGGCCTGGGGCACGGGGCAGGGAAGGCTAGAAGTGGTCAATGGGGGAAGAAATAGGACATAGGTAATCATTTCAACAATAAGGATTTAAAGTAGAGTTTTAATTTGCATGAGAGAATTTCAATCTAAAATGAAACTGGAAGATATAAAATGGAAAATCTCATGCATGTGCAGAAAAATAAAACTTAAAGGAATGAGAAACTGATTTCCCATAAATGCCTGATTTACAGAAAACTGAGAATGTTAGAACTTTCTTAAATGATAAAAACTTGATCAGGGGTTGCCTCATATCGACCTTGGTAAGTTTTGCTCATGGTTCCCAGAGGCATGAACAAAACTGGCTGGATTGAGCTTTGCTTGTATGAAGACTGGTTTTTGCCTGCTTGAGGAATTTTCAACACTAATCTCCATTTGTTCATGATTTTAACTGAACTCTTCCCTCTTTACATTCCTTCTCCACAAATATCAAACCCTCAAGAGACTTGGTACAGCTTGTGTGTCCTGAATTACAATTCCTCTACTATTCCCAAATAAACATGTCTTTTTGACAATTCTGAGCTTGACCTAATTTATCTCTATTTAGGTCAACCCTTGGGAATTTCCATAGATGTGAAGGGAAAATATAAAAGGATTTCTGAAAATAACTAAATATTGATACTAAGAATTCACTGAACAAGTTTTTAAATGTTGCAGAGATGTATGCAATTTTGAAGTATAATACCTAAAAAATCACTAGAATGCTAATTCTACTGACCAAGCCAGCCTGGATGCTCCCCTCAGCTTGACTAAACTTCAGACTGGCTTCTTCTTGACCCTAGGCCTGCCTTTCCTGAGAAGATTTACTTTGGAAAATTCGTAATTGTAAATTCTTTACCTGCCCCTTTGAGTTGTAAATCTTTTTAAAAACCTTCTTAACTAACTTTACAACTAGTAAGGAAGATCCTTCTCAAGGACCAGCCCTTTGCAATGTAGTCTTCAAAAAAGATAAGTGTCTGCATCTGTCAGTCTCTGTGGGAGGGCAGTACCCTAACTTCCATGGATGCCACTTAGCTAACACAGATGGCAGATGGCTTACTTACCTACTGAGGAAAATGTCTGCCAAACTCAGGATAACTCAAGTTGCTCCATCCCACTGATCAACCTCCCCTCCCGCCCCCCAAAGTCCTCCAGTACTTTTCCACTAGCTCACCCCAGCACTCAAAAATCCACCCTCCTTTTGTTTGAGCTGAGTGGAGTTCAACCTCTCTCGCCTATTCCAATAGTCTTAGATAGAGTCTCCCTTGCCTGTTTAACTTTGCCAGGTGAAATTTTATCTTTGACACTATAATCCCAGGACTGGAGATGACTAAGCTTTCAGTACTCACAGGCTTACCATCTTGACCAGGCTGTCCAGGGTAGCCAGGGTTCCCAGGCCGTCCAGGGTCACCCTAGAGAGGAAGAAACACTTCTCAATACAAAACAACCAACTATATTGGTGCAGTCAGAGCCCATCAAGGTTCAGAGCCAATTCCATTAAAGGCAGCTATTTGTTATGTTAAAAACAAACAAACAGAATTCCTATATTCTAAATGCCTAGCTTAACGAATAAAGGCTTTTTAGTATGTAAAACTTACAGTGATTTATTTGTGTGCGACTACCAGGTATAATAGGTAAAGTACATTTCCCTGATGTAAAATGTTAATATTTAAAACAGGGTACACTTTTAGAATTCTAAAAAAATGATTAAGTATCATAGCAAATACAGTTTCAATGAGAGTAATATTTCACTCATTGTCTACAGACTTAATTCTATTCTACATGTTATACTACAGATATCACTGACCTATGATATAATGAGTCAATTCATAATTATTAAGAAAAAACAGTTAAAAGCCATGTGATCTTACACATGGGACTCACATTTAAAGCTGCACAACAGTCATTTCTTTAAATCCAGTCAATGTGCCTCTTTGCCTATATTTAGAATGTCATTGAACATGCTAAAATTCTAAAACTTGAATACTTTTATGAGAGTGAGGCCCAAGCCAAACAACCCTTAGTCTTTTAGTACATGTAATACCTAAGAAATGAAGAAATGACCTTTGCTCTCACAAACCAGAGATCTTCAAAGAACATTATTCTGTACAACATGGCAATGAGCCCAGGCACATTCTATGGAACTCTAGACTGTTGTGCAATGGCCAGTACTGACCATTAAGAGGATCACCACCCTTAAAACAAAACAAGGAAAGCAACATTTTTTTTGAGGTAAGGTTGTTTTATAATTTAACTCTAAGAAATACTTCACAAATCTATCTATAATAATAAAAGGGTAATATGCTAATTAGACCAGGTGTCTTCCAGACGTCATTCCGGGTATCCTTCCTGATGAAGCTGGGGCAGCCCAGGTCCTGTGTGCCTGCGGGCGGTCCGAGGGAAGCTGGTAAGGCAGCCCAGGTCCCAGGTGCCGGAGGGAAGCCAGTGCCGGCAGCCAGGGGAAGGAAGGCCTACTCTTGCAGGAATTTTCGTGCATCAGGCCTCTAATATATATATAAGCCTAAGTGACTGAATGACCGAACAACCGAATGACCCGTCGGCTGGTTGCTATTATGCACACTGACCACCAGGGGGCATATGTTCAATGCAGGAGCTGCCCCCTGGTGGTCAGTGCGCTCTCACAGCCAACCTCCCGAGGCAGGCCAAACTTCTGCGCCCCCGCACCCCCATCAGCCCTGATCACTGGCCAGGCCTAGGGACCCTACCCATGCACAAATTTGTGCACCAGGCCTCTAGTAATTTCATATTCATATCTATTACTGAGTTCATGAGGTCCACGTGGGACATCTTGCCAAAAACACAAAGTCTTGGCCATCAGTACCAATAAATTCCTGCACAGAGACAACTGATTTTCAACTCAATAATTCTTCACTATTTTCAGCAAGAAATCATTCACACAGAACCCCAGTGATTATATATTAACTAAGGTTACTTCCACAGAGCCAGCTTTGCTGGTTGGAAATACTACTTCAGGCTACTGGCTAGGGAGATTTGTTCCTGAAACTAAACAGGAAAAATGGAAAGAACTGTGTGAACTCAATAAAGGAGCCAATGAACAAGGGATGGGCTCTTCACTTAGGAGTCGCCCAAGAGGCTCAGTATAAGAAAAGGTTGAAAAAAGGAAAATGTCATTTTTTAAAGAGAGAAGCACTGTAAATCTAGAGAGAAAAATAATGCTGAAACATTTAATGTCTTGCTAAGAAGGCATAATTTGAAATTCGGATCCAAGGATTCCAGTGTTAACTAAGAAGCAACATTCTGTCTCTCTAGAGTGCTAGAATGTTTCTCTCCTGATTTTCAGGGGATCCCCATTAATCTCTAGCCTCCCTGCCATCCTTCTCTATCCATGTTCATGTTGGACTCACTGCCTTTCAATAAATTCCATTGTTCTTTTCCTCCTGGAAGAAGATTTTCTTCCCTTTCTATGTAAGAGTCATTACGCCAAAATGTGCTGTCACTGCACCTTCCTTGTAACTCCATTTCCTCCTGATGTCTTTTTCTATTGAAATGCTATAGTAGCCCCTGTCTCACTGATCACTTCTTCATAACTGGAGTTTTCTCAATTTTTTCTTGATTAGTCTTCTTCACTTATCATTTGGATTTATATTCCTTGAAACATGGTCCATATTTTCTGCTTTTTTTTTCAATGCTGTATATCAAGTAGAGATTCACTAACTATTTGCTGATTGATTTATTTCAAATCAAATCTCCTGTTAACGACCTCTTTACTTGCAGAATATTAATTATCCACAAAATCTAGGACATAGAAAGTCTCTGAGAAGGTTTAACCTCTACTATGATGCGCCTGAAATAAAACTTTGGCACAAAAAGAAACAGAATTTGTTTCTATGCTACACAGAAGTACAAAACACACTTAACAATAACATTTTAAATGAATCAAAACCAAGTTTCCAAGGGGAAAAAAATCACCCACAAGATAAATCCAATGTGACTTCATAAGGACCATAACACTGGTCAATAGCTCCACAAACAAAAAGTAATCTCTTTTGCAGGTTTTATTATTACTGATAGATTTTAATCGTTATTTTGACCACTACCTTACTGATTTATTTGCAAAATCTCAGGTAGGTTTGGTGTTGTTTCCATAAAATTGAAAGAATAAAATAAAATCCTAACTAATTTTGGAGAGAAGGCCAACTAGAATAAAAATTCCATTTTATTACTATAATAAAAGCTGACACCCAATCTTTATTGGTTGTTGACTGTATGCTAGGGACTGCTTTTAAAAATTTACATACATTATATGACTTCTCATAAGAATACTGCAAAGCAAGTAATCTTATTATTCCCATTTTATATGCAGGAAAACTGAGGCCTGAGAAGGTTAGGTAACTCACTCAAGGTCACAGAGAAGTAGTGGGGATGGAATTTGAAATCATCCAATTCTGCTCCAGAGTCCCTGTGTCTACACACTACTCACCCTGACTACATTAAAATTCAAAAACTAATCAGAACCAGACCTGGGGACTGCTAGCAAATTGAACATGGAAAAAGATTTCCAAATGCATTAAATTAGACATATGACTTATCCTACAATTGTGAGTAAATTCTCAATCACTTTCTCCTAATTTAGTTGAAACATTTGCATTCTTTGAATTTTTAAAAATATGTATCCAACTGAAAAGCAAAACTTACTTATGTTGAATTGAATTTGTGCCACAGGATTTTTGAGTTGTCGACAGGAGTGGAAATGTCATGGATTGAGCTAAACCATCTCTGAACGTGGCCTCTCAAGCAGTGTAATTATGAATAATTAAAATGAAAAATAGCTGCGCTTGCAAAAGCAAGCTAATATTTTAAGTTACTCATCTAAAACAAATGTCTTCGGAGCTCTTCATGTAGGACCAAATCCCATGTTATCAAGCCCTTTTCTCAAACTCTTTGCGCCTTCATTCTAGTCTTGGTCTCCACAGGAGTATCGGACCTAAGACCTATTCCATTCTCCAAAACCAGCCTCTTCCCTCCCTCAAAACTCAAACACCCACTCTCTTAGGCAAGGAGGAATCTACTGAGCCTGGGGAAATTAACATAAAAATGTAAATGCCTAGTGGCCCCTGAAATTTTCCAAAGCCTTTTTGTATTCAGACAGAGGATACTTTGAAAGTCCAAATGAATCTCTTTGATGTAGAATTATGAGGGTGAAACAAAGGGCATCAGAAGGAATACAGCTGGAGAGAGAGTGGCATTTCAGAGCAAAGAATTTATTAAGAAACTGTTCCTTTCTAAAAAAAGGGGGGAAAAAAGCTTTCTTTTCACTTCTGAACTAATACATCTAACATTTAAGGTTAGATCAAGGGTAAAGTGTGTCCCCACAAATGTTCCTATGTCTACTGAAAGTGATGGAAGAAGCTGCCATCTGCATGTTAAGGTCTTTCAAAAGGGAGTTCTTTGTCAACTGGAGATTGCTGGACTTTTCATATAGAACAAAGGCATTCCAGATAAGTTAATAAGGAAGAGGGGTATATCTTATTTTTTCAATGATTTCATAATTCATTAAATTAAAAATTTATTACTATTAAACACTGGGTTAGATAGTAGAATTCCAAAGGAGAGTTTAGTTTGTATTTGCCTTCATTGTGAAGTACCTGCATATAAAAATTACTCCAATAGATTCATTTATTAATTTACTCACTTCCTAGGTTTGACACTAAGGATACAAAATAAGCAAGCTATGTTCAAGTCATTCATAGTCCTGTAACAGATATATTTTTCTTTGCTTATTAAAGAGTTTTAATGTCATGATAAGTGTGTGGTATTATAGTTCATTTGACCTGTTTTTTTTTAATAGGGTTGTCATATTTTTTGGAAAGTTCAAGAATTTATAACAGATGACATTATCTTAGAATAAGCACTTACCCACCTAGCCATAGAAGACTCTCCTCTGTTTTACTCACAGGATTCCTAGAACTCTATTTCTGGCTAATAAAATGACTAGATCTATTTTTCACAGGTAACTCTGATTGATAGACATCTGCAAAGCTTTCCAGAGAGCATCAAACAAAGACAGCCAAAAAGTCTCAATTTGATCTATAGTAAAATTTCATCTCAATTAATTCCAGTTTTGTTGATCTAAATAAAACCCCATCAATTTTCCAAGACACAAATTCTCTACAAGAAGTGCATGAAACTCAGAGTGTTGCTAGGGATTCTGTTTTTCACATACAGGTCCCTGATGTGGCTAAGGAACCACTTCCAGGGGAAAGAGCCTTAAAAGGATGGAGGAGTGTGTGTGTGTTCCTCTCTTCCAGCCAGATTTTCTGAAGAAAATGGGAAGCAGATCAAGAAGGCACGCCAACTTGAAGATTGGTGGAAAACTGCAATTTCACTTAAAGTAGTAGGTGGCAATGGGGTTACAGTATGACTAAGAAAAGAGAATGAAAATGAGGAACATGTGAAACTTAGAAATATTGGATATCAGATAAGACAAAGAGTGCTCTAAAACTTTGCTGTAGAAACATATGCGAATAATAAACAGTGACACCACAAGATCCCTAATGAACCACTAATGAAGAATCAGAAAACATCAAAAGCATCTGATTCCTCCTCAAAAGTGGACAGCCCTTTAGAGACCCTGGGGGGACCAGAATCATTAAGAGTGAGGAGAGTGCTCTGGGCTTTTAGAGAATAGGCAACATGGAACTCTGGTTTCCATATTGTATTTCTTGCAGATCAAATCATTTTTATGTATAACATTTCAGTATTGTAAATACATTTTAAAAAGAAGTCTGCTGGTAGGTCACAGCAAGCTGTCTTATATTCTCCTTGGAACATTTATAGGTATTTCTCATTAATGTCAAGGCATCCTAAATAACGGAGTTAGTTTAACTAAAGAATTCTTTGGTTAACTTTCTGAAAAGCAATCTAAAAATAGTTTACAATAGTAAATTAATTATAATATACTGAAGTCAAATTCCAAACCAAATAGATTCACTTTAAATGAAATATTGAATGTAAATTTTTATTTCTTAAATTTAATTTCTTTATTGATTTTAACAGCTAGGCTTGAAGTATTTCATGAACTATTATATGAAAATGAATGGGAGAAATATGTATAAAAGATAGGAAGAATTAAATTATCTTAGCAGTACAGAAGCTAAGATTTTTTTAGTCATGGTGATTGAAATACTAAGAAAATTCCATCTACCCCTAGTCATTTGGCTCAGTGGATAGAGCATTGGCTATCAGAGTGAAGGGTCTGGGTTTGGTTCAAGTCAAGGGCACATGCCTGGGTTGAGAGCTCGATCCCTAGTAGGGGCTGTGTAGGAGGCAGCCAATCAGTGATTCCCTCTCATCACTGATGTTTCTAGCTCTCTCTCCCTTCCTCTCTAAAATCAATAAAAATATATTTTCAAAAAGAGAAAATTCCATCTAAATATAAATTATAATTCATATTTAAGAAAAAATTTTATGGTCACCTCAAGCAATAGATGATCAATACAGAAAACACTTTTTCCCTAGGGAGTCATACTTGCTTTCAAGTTAGACATTATTTGTATTAGGTAATTTTTAAAATAATATTAAAAATATTATAGTGAACAGAACACTTCTCAGTATCTTAGGGTGTGTCTCTGATGCCATAGTAAGTATCAACTTACTTAAAAACTTAGTCATTCATATTTAATAACATGGGAACATATCAAAGTATTTTGTTATGTAAAAAATAAACTGGTTATAAAATAGTATGTATATCACAGCTCCAAACATACTTTCCCAATGTAATTACTACATGATTAAGTGAAATAAATGCATATGCCTCCATTTTTAGAATTAGACATCTAACACAACATTAAAATCAATCTTAAATTTCTTCTCCATTTTTCTATCGGAAAATCATTTTGACAAATTAAGATCTTAGACATTTAAGAATTTAGAGCATATCTTAAGGGCCCTTTCTTAATTTTTTTAAAAATATATTTTATTGACTTTTTACAGAGAGGAAGGGAGAGAGATAGAGAGTTAGAAACATCGATGAGAAAGAAACATCGATCAGCTGCCTCCTGCACATCTCCTACTGTGGATGTGCCCGCAACCAAGGTACATGCCCTTGACCTGAATCGAACCCTGGACCTTTCAGTCCGCAGGCTGATGCTCTATCCACTGAGCCAAACCGGTTTCGGCAAGGGCCCTTTCTTAATTTTTTACAGAGATATAAGAATCATTCCGGGATCTAGCAGCAGTGTTGAGGGAGGGGGATGGAGAGGGAGCAAACAGATAAATAAGCAAACTAATATTGCTCCCTCACTCTACTGTGGGCTAGCAGTATCAGTTTTAGGTTCAAAGACAAATATAGACTAGAATATGCTTTTTAAAAGGTCACTAACACTCGGGTTTTAACCTGTTCTAAAGCATTAGGTGAAAATTTCATAACAGGGTCCATGGTGATTTGGAATTTTGTGGAAGCTCCAAATTTGGAAGCTCTTGTTTGTATATTTTAACCAAAAAAGAAAAAAAAAGCATTTTTGGTATTACTCACTTTGGGGCCTTGTAGTCCTGGTTTTCCAGGAGGACAAACACAGGGAGCTGAAGTTGAACCTACATCACTGGGGCCATTGAGACACTACAAAGACAAAAATGGAAATAAACATGGAAAGACGCATATATATGTATATGTACATATGTATCTGTATATTTTATTTAGCCTAACCTAATAAGAAATTCCCAATCACAAAAAGGTATGAATACTAAATACACTCAAACTACATTAAAAAAGTGGGTGTAATTTATCTAAAATACTTACAGTTGATGAAAGGAAGCTAAACAGTCCCACAATGCAAATATTACCTTAAGGAAAACAATAGTATCCAGGCCTACCTCGCCATTCTGAAAGAAAAACAATAACAAATGTGTTTGAAAATATGTTTTTAATTAAATTTCTATGTTATCTTCCTAATTTTCAGATATTTCATTGTCCAGGTTATAGATGATTGAAGAATCAAAACCAACCTCTAAAACATTTATTTGCAATTATCCTAAACAATTACTTATGTCTACATGTTATTATTACATTCACAGTAGGATAAACAAAGAAAATTAACAAGAATAAAGAGTAGGAGAAAATTAAAATGCCAAAGCTGCTTAATATAATGACCATGCAGAAACAAAAATACATCAATGCGGAATTTACATGCTCTCTTGACCTTACTGGAAATCCTTTAAGAACCAGAGAAAAAAGCCAAAACATATCTAACCGAGTCCGAAAGAGCATGAATTAAATTTCATGCACTCCAGGGGCGCTTCTCCCTAAACAGTCTATTTCTTACTGAATAAGTCACAGTTTGAGACAGGTTAATAATCTTCCCAAACAATACCACATTATATCAGAAAATGAGAAGGTGGGAATCAAGGTATAAAAAGCAAACAAGCTACACCAAGTCACAGCTAAGAGGAAGGAAGGAGACATAAAAGCACATACAAAAAAAACTGAATGTGAGAATTCAAAGTCTGCCATGTAATGTTATGCCTGTATTATACGGAAGGGAAATGGTAACGGTTATTACAATGATGCAGAAATATCAATAAATAAAGTATGTACAATGGACTCTCAAAATGCAATAACATTAATATGTTTAGTAAAGATTTATATTCCAAATTATAAGTATCTAAAAGGTATATTGCTTAAGCAATTACCTATCTAGAAAACCCATAATGAATCATTTGTAAAAGGTTCCATCTTTGAGTTTATTGTAGACCCATTAATTATGTTGCTCAATGTCCTCAAGACTTTAGAACATGTGGATTCATAAGTTATTCAGCTTAATAAGGAAAAAGGAGACTATGACAGCATGACTATATAAACTAAAAAAGCTCAAATAGGGCTCAAATATCACTGGGAATCTACATTGTCAAAAAGTTTTACAACATTCTACATTATTTGCAATAGCAGCAGTACTGCATACCATTTTTTGCCTAGAGGAAAAGACTGATTATATGCCCTTGTATATATAATCAGACTTTGTAACATTTTAGCTTATAATCCTTTCTTTCTTAACACATCAATGAAAATAGCCAAATAAATATATCCTAGAAATATAAGAAAATCTTAGGTAACAACAATAAAAATAAAACTATTGTTTGAAAAAATGTGCTGGTGAACAGGAAAATGAATCATTTCCTGCTCCAGAACTATAATGCGTAATATACTAATTATAAATTTAATTAAGAACAGAAATGTATTTCACACAAGATATTCAGACAAAATATCCTATAATTTTCTAGAGCAAGTCTAGTCATGCTTCTCATGAATATTAGGATAGTCACAGCCAGACATGATGTGGGAAAAACAGTTTCTTGTGGCCTTTCATTCATACTTACACAGTGAAACATTAAAATTTTATTTCAATTATGAGCTTCAAAATGTTTTAATCGATATAACTTTATTTGACAATTGAAAAAAAATAACTCTATACATTAAGTTAAAACTCACATATTATCTGCTTTTTATTTATGGCTTTGAAAGTACTAAAGCAACACTTGGAAAAAATAATCCATCCTACTTACAAATCCGGGAATCTCGCATGCTGTCTCCCGGTTGTTCTGTTCTGGGTCACAGTAGATTCGCAACTTTTGGACATCAAACTAGGAACATAAACCCAGTCAAGTAAAAGTTGAGGCCCAAGTTAATTGTTTTATAAGAACAACTCAGAGACACAGAAACAACCAATGTAGTTAGCAATTATGGAAAGTTTAAATCACAGCATTCAACTAAAACAATAAAAATATAAAATTTGAATACCTAGCATATAGTATTAAAGATGTGATACAAACTTCTCTAGCACCAAAAATAAATCTCTGATTTCCTTCAGGAACCCAGTGGAGCATTTTAGTACCCCTGTATAAAAGCTAGCCTCGAGAGAACTTTCTAGGACACTTAAAAAGGGTGGCTCAAAAACCATGTTTAGTCTCAGAGATTTAGTTGCTGGCATGGAATGTTGTGTGATGAGGCCCAGCACCTGTTACTATTCAAATACTTACTATAAATTGACATGTAATATTAACATATAGAGACCACGTGTGCAATCACACATTTAAATGTGACAGCCTCCTCTTAATAAAAAGAGTGGGAAAGCCTTACTTTTCAAATAGAGGATTTTACAAGAAATGACTTTTACATGCACACTTCTCAAACCACACATAAATAGTTCACTTTAAAGAGATATTGAAAAAGTTAGTTTTGTTCATGAAGAACCCTGACATGCATTAATTTAATTTTATCTTCACAGCTGTAAAGAAATGTTTATAATGCTACTTATAACTCTAATCACATTGCCTTTTCCAAATTCATTATTTAATCTATGCCTCTCCTGGGATAGTGTACATGAAATTGTTTCATGAGAATGAGAATTCTACCCTGAACCCAGGGGAACATTTTTCTAAGTATTCTTATTAAATAGATTAAGTCTAATTTTGCATTTTCATACTTATACAGAAACACACAATTTCACTGATGAACTGACCACATTTTTTAAGTATCTTAAAGAAATTCACAATTAAGTTAAATGTGATAAATACTATCAGAAAGGACAGCAAAAGCTCCATTTTATATAATGCAAAAAGCAAGTAATTACTTATCCACCTGAACAGTTTCTTCTTTCCCAGAGTATTTTCCAATTTGGGTTTGGCCACTGATGAAGATCCCTAAAACTGGATGTAAGGATTTATTTTCAATTTGTTGATCATCGATATATAGAGTTACATCCTGTTCTGTTACTAAGAGACGAATTTGATGCCAGCCTTCATCAAACAATGTCTATAGGAAGAAAGTATAGAAGATTCATAAATAAAATTCCTAACAATCTTTTATTTTCTTCATGCTCATTCCTTTGCTGTCAACCATAAATCCACACCACATAAATTAGCTATACTATATACAAATTCTCTCTAACCCAAGCTGGGCCTCAAATGCCATTCACCAATTATTTTATTAATCCCCAGAGTTTCTATTACATATCCCAAAGCAGTTGTGTCAAACAACTCCCTGAAGGTCACAAATGAGGTCCTAATCTCTGAATCCAAATGATTTCTCTCATTCCTCATCCTTTTTACTTCATTGAACTTTGGACTCCATAACTAGTCCCTTGTCTTTGATATTCTCACTCAACTTCCATGATTCAAACCCCCTGGATTATCTTCATTTCTTTTCCAATTGCTCATACTCTTACTCTTTGAGGACCCCTCTTCCTCAACCTGCCCTTTGTTGAGACATTCCCCACAAGTCTGTCCTTGACATCTTTCACTCTCCTCTTTGACTATCTCATCCATTCCTACAGGTCAATTATTACTTCTATGAACGAATTCCCATACTTACATCAACATATGGTACCTATAATTCCAATACTGCTAGAAAAATTTGCCAGGATGTCTCACAATCAGCCTGACAGAGTATATTACAAAACAAACTTGAACTATCCCCCAAACTTTCTTTTCCTTATTTTCTTTATATCACAGTATCTTCAGTTTCTAAACCAAAACAAGTTTCTTTACCTCCTTCTCAGTGTCAATAACAAATAGGTGCAAAGTTCTACCAAATATGTCTCCTAAACATGATTGAAATTCACTTCTTCATGTCCATTCTCACTGACATAAGTTAGGCTCATGAGTAGCTTGCTTTATTTGAATAATTTTCAAACATATCTCTATCTCAAACCCTTCCCTCTCCAGGCTATCCTTCATACCTCCATTCATCTCTCTCACTGGAGTTTTGTCACCGAACATGCCCCATCTTATTTTCTTATTTCCAGAATCTAACACAATTCCAAGATAGACTTGAAAGTATTGCTTATGAAAGAAAAAAAGAAAAAGAGAGGAGAGAGTTTCTTTCACCATGACACATCTATGGTCAAGACTTTTGAATGGAATACATCTATGGTCAAGAGAAGTCCATACCCCTTTGGGTGGCTTTCCAGGTCCCCACAAGTTGAGCTCATAACTTGCTAGTCCCTTCTTTCATGCATCTTATACTCTAAACACAGGGGATGCAAATTTCCATTCTCTACATAAAAATTCTGAATTGTACAACACATGACTATTCAATATTGAACTATTGACCTAATGTGTCCTTATGTTTCTCCATCAAAATCCTCTACAAACATGCTTCAAGGTCAGTCCAAAAACCATATCATTTATGAAGATTTTCTCATATTTTGTATTAGAATCCACTTTTCCCTCCACACTCTGCTAACTATGATATACTTCTATTAGATATCAGAAGCCTTAAATCTTTCATTATAAATAAGCTCCTTGAAGGAAAGAAACAATCCTTATTTATTTTTCATTTTTCATAGAACCTAGAACATTGCCTTTAGTGAAAATGGCAGACAACAATTTTTTAAAATTTAATCTATTTACCAATTGAAGAAATTATATAAATGCATAATTTTACATATAACTTTGTACATTTCCTAAATTATATACATCGTCAGACTTTCATAATTATAATAAATATCAAAACTTGATTGCTTTTATCATCACATCTGTATTCTGAACACATGACTTAGAAAATACATTTTTATTTTTAGTATATTGATTTTATTAAATATATCCCTTTATGGGGAATAAAATGTCCTTACAATTAATGTGAATTCTGCATCCATTTTCTGCCTGTATTTAATGTTCTAACAAATGTCTTTATTTCAATATCCTATGGGACATGGCCATGTAAAACAGACCAACATGGGCTATGAAAATGACCAGACCTAAATTCAGTTTCTATTGTCACCACTTAACTAGCTCTGTTACTTGGAGTAGGAACTTAATATCTCTGAACTTGGTTCCTTGTCTGTAAAATGGGAACAACAGGTTCTTCTTTGGGTGGTTATTACAATTCAATGTGCCTGGCACTTAGTAGCAGAAATTCAAAAATGTTAGTTCCTCCCACCCCTAAATTCCACATGGATTAAGAAAGAATTTTCCTGCCCAGATGGCATGGCTCAGTGGTTGAGCATCCACCTATGAACCAGGAGGCCACGGTTCAATTATTGGTCAGGGTACATATCCAGGTTGTGGGCTCGATCCGCAATGTGGGGCATGCAGGAGGCAGCCAATCAATTATTCTCTCTCATTATTGATGTTTCTATTTTTCCCTTCCTCTCTGAAATCAATAAAAATATATTTAAAAAAAGAATTTTCCTTCCTTTGTTTTTTCTTTCAATAAAGCAACATTGAAATCTGAAGCTGATATCTTTCCAGTCATGTTAAAATTATAGCTCTCTTCCCCCAATACACATAAACCTAACAGTGTTTCCTCATGAATAGCATAATCATATCCAGGCATCATTACCTTAACTCGAGGGTCAACAAAGGTGACCACTTGTGAGCCATTAACCACGCTGGTCGTTGTAAATAGTAGTGTTTTATCCACACCATTTAAGGTAACTGCTATTTGTGGCCTTCCATCAATGGTTAAAATTCTCCATAAATCCCATATTTTCTTGACCTTAAATCTCTGAGTGGAGACAAATACATATGATGGAGGAAGACCTTCTGGAAAAACATTGCTAGAAAAAGAAGAACATAAATAAGCTTAAAGAATTCTCAACAAAGCTATAGACATATCAAAAAATATATATCAACACATAACATTTACCTTGTGAATTCTGATAAATCAACTTTTGATGTTACTTCATATCCTTTTATCTTTGTTGGTGAAAGCTGGATTCTTTTCTTAACCTTTTTCTTTACACCCAAGCCTAAAAGAATATCAAACCCCTTCTCATCTCTAGCTGCCACTGGAATTCGTGTTGGACAGACAGATTCTATAAATCAAACGCAAAAGCAGTAAATGTTGATTAAGCATGGAATACTTCAATAAGAAAAGAAAATCAATAGAGGGATACTAGAGAATATAAGAATTATAAAATCTATATATGCATGCAAATATATATCAATGTATGTAAGTGTATTTTCTGAGAAAACATGGGAATTTTTTTTGGCATTCGAGAGTGAAGTCTCAACTGTCATTTCTCCCATTAAAAGGGGATACACATAAAACAGAAATGCAAGAGGAACATTTGTTAATGGATTATTTTAAACACTATGCTGAAGTTTATAAGTTACTATGTATTTTGAATATGGAGCAACCTAATACTTGGAGAGGCAGGAGGACACTGAAACAGGATTCATGATTCTCATCCAGGATTTACTATTAATTAGTCACAAGACCTTGGATAACTCTGAAATTTCTGGGATCTAAATGAATCCTAAGATTCCTTTCTTGCATTCCTAGCATTTGAGGGGTAAAAAAAAGTGTTGTTCTTCATATCCTTTCCAGTTCTAGCAGTTTATAATTCTACAGTTTAAATATCACTGGTTCTGTCACTCTGGAAAAAACTTAATTGTGGGTCTTCTGTTCACGAAAGTTCTAAAAATGGGCCTATTATCTCTTCTATGATTAATGACATTATATATTATAATAATCATTTATAAATAAGTAAAAACTATTTCCTTAACAAGAAGAATTATAGTTTGCATTATACAGTCATCTATGTAAGTTATAAAATATGATATGCCTTTCACTTCTCTGGGAAACTAGTGTCTCAAATGAGGTGGAAATTTTTATATGGTTGAAATGCTATTAAACTGTTATGCTGTAGAAATGTTGTAATATTTTTAGATTCTTCCAAGGCCCTCATATAACATACACATTGAGCATGACTGCTTATATTTTATAGAGCAGCTAACAGAACAAAACAAGAATAAACTTCACTAAACATACCTTAAAGTAATCACTCTCTTACATAACATTAGGGAAAGGGGAAGGCATTATATTTATAACACCATAAAAAGTAATGAGATGAATTTCATTAGCCCAAAATGTACAGTCATATCTTATACCACAGAATATTGGAAATAAAGGATTAACATAAATAAAATCAGATGGATGTTTCCCTGGGAAGAGAGGTATTTTTTTTTCCTCTCAGGTCTTAAGATACAAATTTTGAAGGGACCCAATCACATCCTTCTTGCTCTGGAGAGTTTGGAGCTAACTCATGAGGAGATAGGTAAATCAGGCAAAAAGAAGATGTTGGTTAGATGTGTGATTCAGTGAATTTCATGAGGCACACCCTCCCAGCAATGCAAGGCTGATTTAGTCCTACCCCACCTCAGGGGCAGGCTCTGCCCACTAAGATCACTTGTGGTCTACCAATTACTTTCATCAAACGCACTAATCCAAAAACTCTTTTGCTCATTTAGGGATAAGGAGTGAAAGAAAGCAGGAAGAGAGATCAAAAGAGCTGGTCTAGCTAATCCCTCCATATGAAAACATGAGAAGTAGGATACTCTATTACACAGTTGTAAATCATAAACCAATGCAAAAAATTAAAATTTTCCTGTCATTATGAGGCAGTATTTAGGAGGAGGATACACAAAACAATCACTTCAAATGCATTTGATTTAAAACTGCAAAAGAAAAAAGTTCAGCTGAATAGAAAATGTGTTTAACATTACATCATAAGAATATTCAGATTTCAATTGCACCTTCGATTTGCTTTACAAATGAGAAGTTATAAGATGCTGGGCAAAGAGCTCAGACTTAATACAAGAACTTTAGATTTAGACCTTAGCCTCTCTCATAACCTCTCATGAACCTTGGATTCTAATCTGTGAAGTGAGAATATGTAATTATCTCCACAGGTGATTACATATTGTCTGAGAATCAAATGTGGTGATGTATGCAAAAGTGCTTTGTAACTCCATAATTGCACGTGAGCAAAGGGAATAAAGCACACATTGCATCCATAATTTCAATAATAAAATCCTTTGCACTGTAATCTAATTCCCCAGAATTTATAGAAAGCAGTGTGACAGTTTGTGAAATCAGGAATATAAATTAACAGCCACAATATAGCCATGTTTTCATGTTCACCTAGGCACATCTCTTCAGGGAAAATGTATTTAAATAATTTTTTGGAGGAATAACCTTCTCCCCAATTTTCTCACCTACAAGGAGAACAAGATTACCCTTACAGCCCAGCCAGTGTGGCTCAGTGGTTGAGCGTCGACCTATGAACCAGGAAGTCATGGTTTGGTTCCCAGTCAGGGCACATGCCCGGGTTGTGGGCTCGATCTCCAGTGTGGGGAGTGCAGGAGGCAGCCAATCAATGATTCTCTCTCATCATTTATGTTTCTATCTCCCTCCCCCTCTCCCTTCCTCTCTGAAATCAATATATCAATATATCTATCTATATCTATCTATATCTATATCTATATATCTATCTATATATATATATATATCTATATGTATAGATATATATAGATAGATAGATATATATATATATATATGTATAGATATATATAGATAGATATATATATGGCTACCCTCACACATGGGAACTGAAAAGGAAAATGCTATTTTGATTACCAGCCAATAATTTTTGCATAAATTTAAGGGAAAAGAAAACAGGCAAATAATTAACATTTCCATTGTGTAGAAAAAAGAAATATATGTATAAGTATGCAACCACATTCAGAGAGGGGAATGGAAACTAAAAATAAAAACTGGAACTTGAAAGTTATAATTTTAAGTACCAGGAAAATCAAGTGCTAAGAGAAACTCAGTTGGGAACTTGCTATAAAACCTATAATAGGTAGATAGAATAATCTAGGTAAACAAATAGTGCATTCAGGAGCAAGTGCAAAAAAGACACACGGAAGACTTAAGTTCACAAATGGTTGACTACACAGTTATAATTTCAGTTTACACCACAAATAAATGCCCATACAAATAAGTGCCAAGAGAAAATCCCCCAGCTTGTGACATCTCCCTCGAGGGGGAGGTGAGGGGGAGTAGAGTTTGCTTCCAATACTCCAGCTTCTCAGAAGGCTGCCCAAGAGACTGGTACCTGCCTCGCCTCACTTGGAGCATAAAGGAATCAGAATCATCTGGATGCCTGTGGACTACTGAGAACAAAGAAGAGTGAGGGGTGGACTGCTGTGGCTGCATGGATCAGCAGGAACAGGAGAAGACACACTACTCGAGGCTTCTCCCTCACAGGAAGAGAAATGAGTGGAACATGATTCCAGTATTCCAGCTTTTTAAAGGGCTGCCTGACAAGATATGTGTCTTGCCTAAGAATGTTGACAGGAAACCAGCATATGTGGTTGCCTGGTAGTCATTGAGAACAAGAAAAAGTGGGGAAGTTATGACTAAAGAACTAGAGAACTTGAAGTGTCGCAGACAGACACCAAAGGGAGTGAGAGATTATGAGTGCCTGGAAAAGAAACCAGCAAGCCTCCCTAATTAAGAAATTACTCACACAGGCCCAGAGAAATATCATCCCCCAACCTCCTTAAAAAGGGTTCAGAGGCCCACAGAATCTCTAGTCAGACAGATTGGTGTCAGACTCCCCTGTACAAAGCCAATTGGTAAAGGCTGGGAGAGGTGACTCTTTTTTCAAATGTGTGGATCCCAAAACAAGACTATGAGATAGAAAAAGAAACAGGAAAACATGACCCAATTGAAAGAACAAAATAACTCTCCAGATACCAATCCTAAATGAAGGGAAGTATATTATCTGACAAAGAATTCACAATAGCCATCATAAAGATACTTTATAAATTTAAGAAAATAATGTATGAGCAAAATAAAAGTATCAACAAAGAGGCAGAAAATATAAAGAGGAACCAACAGAAATATGAAGCTGAAGTACACAATAACCAAATGAAAAAACTGACTACAGGGGTTTGAAATCAGACTTATCAAAGAGAAAAAAAGAACCAGCAATCTTGAAGACAGGTCATCTGCAATTATCCAGGCAGAGGGACAAATTTTTTAAAGAATGAGAAAAATTTAGAAAACCCTAAAGGACTCTATGGGACACAATCAGCTAGACCAGTATACATAGGATGGGAGTTGCAGAAGAAGAAAGGACAAAGCTTATCCTATATAATAAAAGGCTAATATGCAAATAGACCGAATGGCGGAACAACTGAACAACCGTCACTATGACGTGTGCTGACCACCAAGGAGGGGGTGTGTGGGACATGGTGGGCATCAGCTGCAGCAGGATGGTGGAGCAGGTGAGCGGGGACGCCAGAGCAAGGAGGGGCACTGGTTGCCGTCATTGGGGCAAGCCTCTGGTGGTTACTGAAAATTCTTTGCTCCTATGCACTGTGGCCCCGCCTGGCACTCGCACCTGCTGCCAGAACCAGCCCCACTCACACCCGCAGCCAGTGCCAAAGCTGCCGCTCACACCCACCAACCCCAATCACTCTGCACCATTAGCGGGTGTGAGCAGAGCTGGTGCCATTAGCACGTGGGAGTGGCAGTGAGAGCAGGGCTGCTGCAGACAGGGAACTGGGGGCTGCAGAGGAAAGGGACAGGCAGGGGCATGGAGAATGGGCTGCTGCAGCCTCGTGGCCCACAGTTCCTTTCAAGGTGCACAAATTCATGCACTGAGCCCCTAGTTTTAAAAATAATAGCCAAAACTTTCTCAAGTCTGAGAAAGAAAATGGACATCCAGAGACAAAGAGAGAATTTTGAAAGCATCAAGAGAAAGCAACTCCTTATGACAAGGGTATCCCAATAAGAGTATCAGTGGATTTCTCAGTAGAAACCTAGCAGGCCACAAGGGAATGGGATGATAAATTCAAAGTGCTGAAATGAAAAAAAAAAACTACCAACCAAAATAGTATAGCCGGAAAAAGTGTCCTTCAAAAAATGAATAAGAAATAAACACTTTCTCAGATTTAAAAAAAACTAATGAAGTTCATCACCACTAGACCTGTCTTACAAGAAATGCTGACAAAGTCCTCC